AGGAACCTACAATTTTGAGGAACTTGTATCTTTTGTGTACATTTTAGAAAATAACAATGAAATCTTCAACTTTATAGAGGTTTGGGATACTTACTCGCCCTACCTTCTGTTCATTTCTCTACCCACCTCTTTGTTTCTTTGCTTATCTCCTTGTACTCAGAGCTCTCGCCCCCTCCTATGGACGCAGAAATGAACATGGGAGAAAAAGTAGTGCGAAGCAATTAAACAGTTTTGTTTATTTTAATCTGTAACAACTGTATATATTGTAATTCTGGTGGATTTTTCCCGTTTCTCTTGCTTTGTACTATTAAGCGTGTAATTCTTTTGTTTCGTACTGAGAATGGGGAAGAGAAGCCAAGATAACCTCACCAACTTGTTCTTTGTTTCATGCTTATCAAGGTGTTTTTATTCTTCGCATTATTCTCTTGTTCCCATTGTTGTCCCCGTTGTTTTCGTCGGTTTATTCAATCAACTTTGTCATTCTGTTGCAAGATCCCTATATATATAGCACACATTCCCTGAATTATACTTCGATTCAAAGTTGATACCTTGAGCCACCCTAGCAATGATCGAAATAACCGATTGAGTTTCTTTATTTCTACTGAAAAGGCATGTTTGCATAAAATAGAGAAGTCTGGTTGGTTATTTCACTTATTGCTAGGATAACCTTAAAATTCATTCCTCAAACCTTGTGTTGTAATACCCCAGTCTTGTATAAAATATTGTTACCAGTCTGAACATTTTCATACCAGCATGACTAGTAGTTCATTTTTTGGCCCATTTTCAAGGTAACTCCCTGATTGGTTAATCCTTAGTCTTACTATGTTAATGTGCCAATTTGCGGACAAGGTCATATCTCATGTGTACACATATTGACGTATTTTTGGTTAAATTGATTATTATTCACGTCGAATTAAACTCTTCCATCCAGCTTACGTCTTCTCCTCTATTCTTCCGGGTTGCAGTGGGTAGCTCTTGCGTACAAGGTTAGCTGTCAGTTAAGCGTGCGCATTATATCCGTTTGGAATATTAAAAAACAATTTCCAGGATGTATATTGCATTACATCACTCGTCTAGAAAGTTGTTTCAATCATTCAAATTGTATTGTATAAAGTAGTTTCAACTCATCATTTTGATAGTTAACAATAAACTCAAGAAAAAACCTTACGATAGATCGATGCAGGTGCTGAAATGAACAAAAATATACGATCCAGTTTCAAGATGTTATCCGTCACGGAGTGATATCAGTTGTAGAACAGTTTTAAACCTAGGAATATTAGACATCCGTTTCGCCCTAGTATGGGTCTCCTCAGCAGTGCTCAATCATAACTTCACCTTCCAGGGGTCAGACACAGCACTCAGATGAACTTCAACTGCCCGAAACTGCTTACTCCAGTCAATTCATGATAAAACGCGGGTATCATTCAATCCCGTGGTTGAATACATGTCCTCACTTCCAATATGACTTCCCTCTTAGGTCACAATTTCTCATCGGGACTTCAGTTCGATCCTGAAACGGTATGGTTGTGTGTGTATTGCTGAGGAGTCTCAACATACGACGAAACACCTGTCCAGTACTCTCAGGTTCTCAATATCTTTTCAATTGATATCAATCTGTAATGAATACCACATTGAAGTCAACAACAAAACCCAATACAAACGTTAAAATCAAATAAAAATCATGTGGATTATTTGTGAAACAGGTGAAAGGGAAGATTTCCACTTCGATTGAATGAACCATCTCTACCCTCCTAAATTCAGATCAAACTTCTGGCTATTGCATTTTATTATCTCAAAAACTATTACTGTTAATACTACTAGGATGCCATAATTATTTCACTTGAAAATATTATTCATGGAGTAAATTTATGGATAAAATATAAAACAAAAGATGTTTAACAAAGAATCAATATTTTCAACGATATCATTCTCATTCACGCCCAACTCATCATTTCCCATCTAGGTTCCACTCGGGGACCTGTCACGTGATATCTTCGAATGGTCTTCTCAGTGTATACCCAATCCATTTACACTTCTTTCCAGTGCATATTTGTTGGGTAATAGGTTCTTGGTTGGCTCGTTGCCAGGTCAGAGTTCCTTGTTGCTTATTCTTATTATTTTGGCCATCTGAACTTCAGTAACTAGCCAGCATAGGCTGAAGTTGTTGATGAATATCTGTAGTTTGTTGGATAACGTTATATTACTTAAAAGTTATTTGTTTTACTAGTAGATACGTGCACAACACCAATTATTGAATATATTGAGCATAAATTTTAAACAAAATTCAATCATTTTTCATATGGTGACGCATTCTTTGGTTGTACTGGCGTTGGGATATTAAGAAAAACTGTTTACGGATGATATAAAGCCTACTTATTGTATTCTGTATCATAAAGATGATGTTGGTCTTTTATTACATGTATAAATTTTTGGTGTTTATGGCATTCAATTTTAAAGAAAACTTATATACTACTTATAAGTAGTTAATTCTTTTTCAGTAGCTAAGAGATTGACTTATGTTAAACTATTCACTTAGTAGTAGATGACAATATTAGTATGTATTATTTGTCCCATGGGTTCCTAGTGGAACGTAGCACTTTGGTAGAACGTCTTCATTGCACTCTGTTCTCTACAGTCTTTTGAACCCGGCTCCACGAATGCCCAGAACCTTTCATTTCTTCCTGACACGATCTCCTACATATCATCGTCGAAAGCCCAACTTGTCGTATCCCCTTTGATTTCCATTCAACGACCTGGGGTGTGATGTCCCCAAATGGTAGAAGTTAGGTCGCTAGTCTTATGTCTAATCTCCCCTCTTTTTCCGGGCTTAGGACCGGCTAGTAAACTAGACGATTTTGCCCTCTCAACATATACTACTTATATTCATCCTGATGAGTAAAGCCCACTGCAGTAAGAGGTTCAGATATGATTATAAATCAGGAGGATCGGAAAAAGAATTAGATAATATCTGAAAAATAGTATTGGGAAGAAAACTTATCAAGATGGAACTAATATTTGGTCACTAAGTTGAATGATGTAACATGTAGAATGTCGAGAGAAATGCCTATTACAACTCAGTTGACTGCACAATTTCCTTTTGAACACAAAGTTTAGGGCTTCCATAGTTCGAAGAAGTTTTAGGCATGCACCTTTCACGAGATTTACACGAATTCTACAAATGAAACTAAAGTTATTTTCTATATTTACCACGGGTGGTGACAATTCAGCAAATATTCTAAAACAGAGCTATGAAGTGTCTTCCTTACTCCTTTGTGGAACCGGCTGATGTATATGTTCGGAAATGTGTCTGGAAAGCGAATGATCAGTACGGTCAACACATCTTACTCTACAGGAGTAGGTGAATTAATCAGCCAATATAATTCTTTTCCCGATCTCCTTATTTATAATCAGATGTAAACTTCATTCAAAATATTTCATGAAACATTCCTTTTCTGTTACTCTATGTGAATAGAATATTTATATATGCGCAATTGTACAATGTGAGAATGATATCTCTGAAAAGAGTGACTCTTTGTTAAACGGAATGATTCATATCCGCCAGTCGGATAGCTCCCTTCACGAAGCATACAAATCAATTACAGTACTAGAAAATGACGACATTCGTTTCCAACATGTCTGATTATGACCCTGAGTATGAAAGATACATTACCTGTTATGTTTTTCAATGCAGTATTTCATTTGGAGCCAATTATGTCGGCCATTACTGTGAAAACTGCATTTTCTATTATCTGCAACATCTAATGGCGGTGAATTGAAAGGTTATTCAATATAAAGAACAATCATAATGTTGTAACATCAGTGATAATCGAGAGTGTCTGTCAGCTGATAGGATGTCCTAGAAGTCAATTAGACTTGGTGAAATAAATCTGAGTGAAACAGTTCAGTATCACTTTTAAAACTAGGTCACTGTGGTAGAATGTATCACACAGCAAAACAGCATGATATACTACACTACGTTTCGGACACAGTTTACTCTTCATAGTCATATCAAGATGGATTATTACTAAGATGTTCGATGATGCATCAAGGCTCACTGGTAATGTCGTTAACTACAACATTGAGTGACACAAGTTCGAATCTCAGAGGGGATATCATTTCACTTTCTCGAAATTCCAAATATGCCTTACTGATGAATCCCAATAAATATGAAATCTTGGTTCATGTGCCTGGAAGAATTTTCATTCAAATAAATTTAAATTCGCCATTAATGAACTATTCTAAAGGATATTTTCTTCTAAACATTGGATAACAGTGAAGTAAAGGGATAGAATTCATTTTCTCTTTCGGCCTTTATCAGGTAGACATGATTTGAGTTCGATTTCCTGTGTCGATCTGTTTCAATGTGGTAATGTTTGTGAATAACAAACTGGTGAATATCAGTTATTCTACATCATTTAGTGAAGTCATTGTGATATAAAGTGATCGATAGAATAATACAAGATATGAGAATGCTACTAACACCAATTGAGATACTTGGAGTGGATACAACCTGATATGATACTTTACACTGAGTTGAGAAAATCAGAAGATAAAGACCACTGCTTTTGACATGAATATACAACACCTCTAGGTCAAAAGTTATCCAGCTTATTCTGATTGGTCGACTGTAAGGCAAAATTGTCCAATAAGATTTTTCCTAGTCATACAGTGACATGAAACAAAAATCACAGTAAAAAGCTTCCAGCTTAACGACTGATTACTTAGAATGCTGACTTCGGTTTGAGTTCCTTCCTATAAGGATAATTCTTAGAACTCCTCCGGAAATGTTTGTTAAGTGTTATACGTTTGAAATTAATTTTCAGGGTCTCATGGATCTGGACCGAAAGCAAATCATTCGCATCAACAATGATCCGCTGTTAGGAGGTCAGAGTGTCAATATATTCCTGCATCATACAAGTCAGGATTCAGTCTCTGATGCAAAGCCTTGTAATATCACAGACAGTCCAAGCTTACTGAGATGAAAATAAATCCTTCAGTTTCAAGTAATCATTAATTTATTTGTTGATTTTTTATTACAATTAGAAAATAATTGAAAATCTCTTTTATCAGATAGTTGGGGTTAGTAAGTCAATTAATCATTGTTACGGACTAACGTGTATGTATGTCTGCCTGTGTCCATTTGATCTCTTCAAATTTCATATTTTCTTTACAATACAAATTCACCAGTATATTCTACTTGCATTGTTGTCACCTTCCCATTTGCCAATATTGTTTATCATCTGATATGTAGAAGCTTTTTAAAAGCTGTACGAAATTCTAAATTGAATATTGTATAGATAACTGGATTTAGGGCTGAGTTAATATAACCAAGCCATGTGCATGACGACATGAGATTACCAGCTATTTCACAGAAACCATATTTATCTGGTCCCAGATAAATGCATAGACCTAAACTCATATTGATTGAGAAGAATGGAAGCCAACAGGCTAGAAATACACCTGAAATAGTGTTTAAAAAAATATTGTTACTACTGGCATTATTATTATTATTATTAAAACAGACGTGGAATATTACTCAAAATACTTGGGATAGACAATAGTCATTTAGTCCAGGAGACGCCAGCATCATTGTAACTCTTTAGCAGTCTCATAACTTTGCATAGCGGCATGTGATTTTGCTGATTCAGCTGATTTGCTGACCTTGGACGTGATTGGTTGCTATATGTCTGACCAATCTTCTACACTCAACTCAATCCACCCACAAGATAAGTCACGTGATTCGTTCAGCCCAACTCCTTAAAACAGGATACAAAGTCTAATGCCTGTTGTCTGTATGCCCCTTAGATGGTCTGATTCATCTGTATATGCAAAGCTAAATTACCTGACGTCAACGCACCAAAGTTGATGTGGCTGAAACAACTGATTTCAAGCACAAAAGATGAGATAATACACAATCACGAATATCCCTCAACATGAAGTGATTATTTCCGAATTATGAGCCACATATAAGTGGATGACAGGTCAATCGTGAGCTTATGAGTTGAATAAGCTATGCAATAGTGTTAACAATTAAGTTATGCCTATAATAAGTTTGGAGACAAAATAATAAGACCAATGTAATTTATATGAGATTTACGTTTTTCGCCTTTTAGCCACTATAACAAACTGGGCTACCATGTTTTCCACTGGGATCGAATATATACTGAAGCCTCAGCAAGCAAAAAACAAGTATAACCCATCACACCAATTACCAATACCCTTTCATCAAATGAAATAACAAGTGTTAGATTAACACGGTTTTGTCTTACGGTCAAAGTAGAAGAACACTAAAGTATTATGTCCAATGCCACTGGTTCGAATCCCTTTTAAATCGATGTTTTTGTCTCATATTCAATCCTCATGTGCACAACAATCTACTTTCGAAGGTTTGGTTTGCAAACCAGAATATTTAGCACTTACTAAAGCAGAGAACATTTCACCATCGAGTGAACAACTACAGTAGTTTTGATAATGAGTGGTAAACGAAAGAAAATTGAAAATCTGGGTTGTTGTAGAATTAACAACCTCCGAGTTTCTGGTCTGGTGACCTGCGGACTGAGCTACTGATAACCCAACGACCACCAAATAGAATCCTTGTGCAACCTAGGTTTTCATCCCACTTGCAATCAGTTCGAGCGTAGCCTGTGAACTATATGTTGTAGACAGCTACTTCGTTGTGGTTTTAAGATGCTTGATAATCTCTTCCTTGTCGACTTTTTCAATAAAACCTTTATTATTATTTATTATTTTTTCCTTGGATTCCTGGTGGAACATACGGCTTCAGTAGCACGTCGCCATTTCACTTTCTTCTATGCAATCATTTGAACCTGGCTCCACGGCAGGCCACTAGCTCTCATTTCTTCCTCACACGATCTCCTCCACGTCACCCTCGGATGCCCAACTCATTCTTTTGAATTTCAATTGCACTCAAGGGCCTGATATGTGATGTTCCCAAACCATCTTCTAAGTGTATGTCCAACAGAACTCATCTCCACTCTTTTCTTCTGCATATTAGTTATGCGATAGGTTCTTGCTTCGTATGTTCGTTAGCAGGCCAGAGTTCCAACCATATAGAAGGACTGAACTGACTGAATTAGTGTTGAAATTCCAGATCTTGTTCCACACGCTGAATGCAGTGCAGTGCAGTAGATATACCACACTGATTTCAGGTTAGTGAAGAAAGGGCTGTCTTGTTATCTTTCCGATCCTGGATTTCACGTCCTCATCTGTGCCACTTATGCGTGAAACGATGCTGCCTCCTAGGCAGGTGAAAGAGATTACTTCCTTTAGTTTTCTCCAGTTGATGCTGATTGTTGCATGTTGTTGTTGGTTGGGTGTCTTCATCACCTCCGTCTTCTCTACGTTCACGTGAATGAATTTCTGTCTTCACTGTCCCTTCTGCCAACTTGTTAGTTTTCGCCTGTACATCTTAGAGTTTGTGCGACATTACACATTATACATAAATCATCACTGGCGAAATCCAAATCTTCTAGGGTTTTTTATCGGTCAAGCAGACAGCGTATGCCTATCTTCTCCCTCCTCACAGTTTGTTGCATGATCCAGTCCAGTCCAGTCGAGTCGAGTTAACCACAATCAGGAAGATCATCATCGGTGGTAGTCGGTGACAACCTTATCTTCACTTCAAACGCATCACTGAGCTTTCCGTTATGAATCACTCGACATGTAGCATCGTATAGCATATCGCAGCTGTTGAACGACGCTGATGAAGGTTTGTGGCACTAAAAGCATAGTGTTGAAGCAGCTACCAAATTATCTCTCAGTCGATACTATCAAAAGTCTCTTCAAAATCCATGAAGTTAGGGTAAAGATTTGACCGCTGTTTTAGGCTTTGTTCTATGGTGATGCGAAGCATGGCATTGCATTTTGATGTGCATATGATTTGTTCTTCCAGAAGCCAACCAGTCAGCTCATTCCAGTTATAATTTTGAATACAGAGCATGATTTAGTCTCTCCAGGATGATTTAGCTTAATCTTTTGCTTGGGGTGAACAGAGGTGGAGCATGATTCCGCTTCAGTTCTTGCAAAGACTGAGGTTGCCCTTCAATGAAGTCGAGGAACTTTTAAGTTGATGAAAAACGCGTAGTTGTCGAGTAACTGACAGAAAAATACAACAGCTACCGTGCCGTGACCTGAATTAATGCTATTGCAGTAGAAAGTAAGTTGTTTCAATGCAAAATATTATCAATTATAATCGATGGAACCAAACGTTAATTTGTACGGGAAGAAAGTACTGTGAGAAATTAACAAAAATATCAGGTTTCCATAAGTCAGTTTGAAACCCTGGTTGGAAGAGGAAACAGCCAATTTCCTGTTGATTAACTTTTCGAGTTTAATATAAATGAACTCATAAAAAAATCTTAAATACTTTCTAAATCCTTTTTATTGATTTATGAGAATTAACTGACTACTTTTAAGGCAGTTCCCTTAACCGATTGATATTACCTGAAGAATCACTGAAAGTCAGAGGAAGCCTTAGCAGAGTTGTTTTATCTGGACCATTGATACTCAGCGTCTTTAACACTATGGGGGACTGAATTCAGAACTTCTACATTTTACGTGACAAGATTTTTCTCAGCTGTCTAGGAAGCTATTTTAAAAAATGGATAAATATTTTTTGATTTCAGGTTGATATCCATCGTGGATTGATATCCTTGGAGCACTGGACAGCTGTTTCGTCACACTACGGAACTCATCAGTAGTGTGCACCCATGACCTTATTGCACCAGGGATCGAACGCAGGAGCATGAATCCAATGGCTCATATTTCCTACTTCTGGAAGAACTGGACAGGTATTTCGCCCTGATATTAGACTCCTCAGCAGTGCATGCCCATTACCCCACCACGGGTCTAGTGCTCCCAGGTTTTCAAATATTCCTCCTACTAATGTTAGTTCATGATGAATACCGGCGGGGAATCAATACATGAATTCTCCACAAACCTCTAAACTGAATTCTTCTTCTTTGTGTTCAGCTACTAATACGTGATGAGGAGGGAACCCCAAGTTGTTACAGTCTCTCCTAATCTTAGATACCTACCATCAGTATTCAGTCATACTACTGGTTGATAAAGCTTTGAACACAAAGCTAAAAACTGCTAATGAGCATGAAAATGAGATTAAACAAGATTTTCCCTTAATGATATCCAACCATTTAAGAAACCTTTCAACAAACTAATCTTTTCTTTCTTCATTCAACTTACCCAAGACAATAGCCAATGTTTTAGTAGCTTTTTTCTCCTTTTGTGATAGTACATTCTTATTTCTAACAGAAATATGCTTTGGACTATTATAAAGTGATTTATGTACTGATCTTCCACTACTTGTATCTAAATCGACTGGAGATATTACAGATTGATTTGTAAGATGTACATCTTTATTCTTATTGGAAGTAGTTTTATAAATGTTACCTTCATCAGTATTGTTATTATGCTGATCTGTGTTTAAATGATACGATTTAAATAGCTTGGAATATAATTTATTTGATCGATTTGAATTTTGCGCCGTTATCTGATTGTTTTGTTTGAATTGATCATTGAATTGTTGTAGATATTTACAGCATATAGCATGAAAATTATATTTTTTTTTATCAAATAAATTTGATTGAATTTTATCAGTTTTCATATTGTAACATTGATCATTCATTATATTTGTGTGATTATTTTTATCAATAATTTTAACTCTACTACTGATGTGACCATTAGGGACGAAACGTGATATTTTTTCAGTATGATTTATAAATCTATGACATTTAGTTTTAGAAGGCTGACAAGTATACTGAAATATAACAGATTGTTGACATTCACTACAGTTATATACATCATGAAAATTGTATTCACATACACAATTTGATTTGATTTCATGTTGACAAAATTTACAAGAATTTTCATCGGTTAGTTCTTCAATGGCATTCTCTTCAAATTCTTCTTCTTCGTCAACATCATCATCATCATTATCATCTTCACTGTCAGCTGTTGTATCATATAGATAGTATTTGGTTGATTCACCTTTAAGGTGTATCAAATTGGAATCTGTTGTTATCTCTTCTGAACTTGCACCAGCGCATTCACTAACATGTGGCCAGGAATATTCACATTCACTCGATACTGAACTAGTATATACATCTGTACAATTTAAACAAGTGTTTATCCTTGGTAATAGAAATAAGTTAATGATATTTGACTTGAAAGGGATTCGATGTTGACAAGATAACTTTCGGCTATTGATATCACATTGTCGATTACAATTGTTCATCCAGCATGTATTAACCATATGAAGTGATGAGACAGGATTGAATTGTTTTGCTGAAGTGCCTGAATCATCTTCTCGTACCATCTCTGGAGTATTTTGTATCTGTTGCTTTTCTTCTATATTGTTACTGTCTATAGGATGCTCAGAAGGTGTATTTTTTGCCGGTAAACCATTGTAAATGTCTTCTTGTTCTTCATTTGCATACGGAGAGGAAGGTGATGCCTGACTTGAGCTGACTACAATATGCTTAGGTGATTCACATAATTCAAAATCCATTAATCCTTTTTCATGTATAAATGATGCTTCTAATTGATTCGTCAAATTTCTATCAACCTTGAACTCCATTGTAATCTGATTGGTTGATTTTAAATAATCAATAGAATTGGGCTGATTCATTCTTAAAGTTAATTGATGTGAATTATATAAATTTGGTGGTGGTATATCTAAACGTGGACCTTCAAAATGCATATCTGATAAATTCTCATTTGATTCTTGACAGAATTCATCATGTAGAGATTGTGACAATGAACCGGTGATTGCATTCAACTCATTAGGAAATTCAATATCTTCTTTTCTATTTAACGTATTTATTGATTTTGTATATAATGAAGAGAATTTATATTCAGAAGGATAATTATCATGGTAAGGATTACTTATTGCTGTTTCAGTAGTATTATTATTATACATTGGAATACTTTGATTATTGTCTGAAAAAGTGATATTACATAATTGAATGGTTGATGATTCGTTGACTTGTTGTTGTCGATTAGGAAGATGTTGTTCTTCTTGTTGCTGTCGTCTTGATTGTTGTTGTTGATCATGAAAATGATTAGGTTTTGATGATTGTGTTAATCGTAATGATTTATGTCGTTGTTTAATTAAAGCAAATATACGCTGATAAACAACAATCAATATAATTGCAGGTAAATAAAATGAGCCTAATGAAGAATAGATAATGTATAAAGCATTAAAAGATTGACATATAGTTGGATCATTATATCGATTGATATTTAAACCACATACTAAGGGAACAGCTATAAGAAATGATACTATCCATACTAAACCAATTGATATTTGAACTCTTCGCATATTATTATGTTTTGCATATACAATAGGCTTTGTAACAGCTAAATATCTGAAAAATGAGAGTAGAAACAATAATATGAAATGAATTAAATAGACTTTTTGTTTTTAAAACAGAAAACAACTTTTAATTCTTATATATCAGTGAAAATCCTGATATGATCCAGGCAACAAGATCTAGATTTTCAACACTAATCCAGTCAAGTCAGTGCTTCTATATGATGGTTGAGAGACTTGGCATTTCTAACAAACTACATACATTCATCAACAACTGTAGCTTACGCTTGATACTGAAAATGAAATGGCCAGAAAGAATAGGCAACAAGGGAATCTGACAACGAACCAATGAAGCAAGAACGTATCGCTGAATGAATATGCACTGGAAGGAAGTGGAGATGGATTGGGCATGTACTGAGAAGACCATTCGGAGATATCGTGCGACAGGCCCTTGAGTGGGACCCAGATGGGACGCGACGAGATGGGTGTCCGAGGTATGTGTGACATGAAGGAGATCGTGTGAGGAAGAAATGAGAGCTTGTGGGCTGCTGTGGAGCCAGGTTCAAAAGTTTGCAGAGAAGAGAGTGGAATGGAGATGTGCTACTGAAGCCCTATGTTCTATTAGGAACCCAAGGGACAAATAATAATAGTAATAATGATAATGTTTATCGTTGAGGAGGAGAAAATGGTTACATCGATAACCCACTAACCTTGAATCCACTTACATACTGAAGTCCTAGATGGGATATGAGCAGCTTCATGATGAAGCCTCTAGTTTCAAAAGTGTATAAAACAAGCTTAAAATCTCGAAGGATTACCAATTGCTTCGCAGATACAAATGAGTTCTGATGATGAGCGCTGATGACCATGAATGTTAGGTCAAGCAGGATTTCCTGCGCAATATCTAACACCACTGATAGTTTCTGTTTCCTTGGGTGTTATAAACGAACAATCCTAATGGGTCTTAGATAACATTTCTAAAAATGTTTGTACTAATCGGTTGTTATATCGGATTGAGTAGATTGACCTCTGTTACTACGTAAGATCTTGTACGGATGTATCGATATTGTCTGAAGATTCATTGTCGTAATTTACTTGATGATAGCCAGCAGTGAAACTCAGTAAAAGACGTTTCGTCCTATATGGCAATCGTCAGCTAGACGTATGTCTACTCAAGTGTGTCCAGCTCCGAGTGAAACTGAGATTAGACATCTATCGATCCAAATGCTAGTCAGAACCAAATGTTCATCTCAGATTTCCCTGCTAGCCACTAGTTGTCATTGTTTTCAACTTTAAATTACCAGTAATATTGACTCATTCACATAGAGGAACATAAAACGATAATAGTCCAGTCAACACCTGAAAACTATTATCCATAACAACTACGGTACACTCATTAGTTACATTTACACAGATCTGTACTCGATTGCATAATGATTTGTGGAATTTTTCATTCCAACCTCCGCATCCTAACTCACATTGAATGATAACTAATCTAGTTTCATTGTGCGAAGTTACTGAAGTAATTAACAAGTCCTTCTTGGTTGTTTCTACTGTGTACACTACTTCCTCATTGTTCAAGCTGCTCATATTAACCGTTGCCATACTTTCAACATTCACATTCGACATTTCCACACGTTGCTGAAAATAATATCCTTCCGTCTATCTGTAAATATTTTGACAATAGAAGTGTTGAGTTGAATTGCTAAGAGTGGTTGTTTTAAAGTAAAGGGGGTTAAGGAGAAGTGGATTTGGATCCAGTTGATCGATAAAGTGAGCAGTCAGGACTCGACAACATAAAATTGGTTATTTTCCAGAGACAAACCATTGTAGGTATTTCAGTCCTACAAGCGGTAAGTGGTAGCCTCTGTTATTGCATCACTCAAATAAGACACCACTTCCATCGATGTTACAGATACAACTTGGTGACAAGCGCCGACAAACAAAACTTCTGGCATGCGGACTAGGAGTTTCATCTCATCACTCACTAAGTTTTTTGAGTAAATCCACTTGATAAGATCCAAATTATGGCGAAATATTTATTGCAGATCCTATTGCCATCCATGTCGCGCAAGCTCGAAGATCTACAGACAAACACCAACTCGTTGAAAAAAGAGGCAGGGCAGCGAAGACGGGACTTCAAGTGAACGTAGAGAAGACAGAGGTGATGGAGATACCCAACCAACAACAATAAAAAGCTGCGATCACCATCTAAGGGAGAAACTTGAAGGAAGTAGTCTCTCTCACCTATCTAGGCAGCATCGTTTCATCCACAGGTGGCGCAGATGAGGACGTCAAAGACAAGATTGGGAAGACAGCAAGATAGCCCTTCCTGCATTAATATGAAATCAGTGTGAAGATCTACTGCACTCAGCGTGTGGAACAAGTTCTGGGTTTTCAACACCGATTCAGTGAAGTCACTGGTTCAGAAACTTGGCGTGTCACGGGAAACATTTCCAACAAACTATAGACATTCATCAACAGCTGCCTATGCACGATACTGAAGATCGGGTGGCCAGAATAATAAGAATAAACAACAAGGAACTCCGGGAGCGAATCAACGAAGCAATAACCGATCACTCAACAAATATGCACTGGAAGGAAGTCGAGATGGATTGGGAATACACTGAGAAGGCAGACTGGGGACATCACACGCCATGCCAGGGCTTTGAGTAGAATCCGAATGGGAAACGACGAGTTAGGCGTGTGAAGATGACATGCAGGAGATCATGCGAAAAAGAAATGAGCTCTTCTAGGCAGTCGTGGAGCTAGGTTCAAAAGACTGCAGAGCTGAGAGTGCAATACAGGCGTGCTACTGAAGCCGTATGTTCTACTAGGAACCCAAGGGAAAATAAATAATAATAATAATATAACCGTATTTTATCACAATAAAGAAAACAAATTCTTCCATTTAGCTTTCACATTATTGCGTAATAGAGAGTAGTAAGGATAATAATAATAGTATTAAGAATTACACAGGCACAACTGGGCGAAGTGGTGGAGGATTGCAGGTGGAAACTTCCATTATAAATTTAGTTAAAATTAACTATTGTGTTTTGAATTCAAAGTGAAACGTTGACTTATAATATAACCTGAATTAGCCATGATCATGATAACTTAATAAATCATGAATATTTGTGTTAACAAGTGTGTGAGAGCTTATTTAATATGAGAAGATAGAGTAATGTATATTTCAAGTGTGGGACTTTTAAATACTCAGTTCACGATGAAGCATGACTGTTATCTAACGCCATTACTGAGCATTTGTTCGCATATCTGACATTGTCCCCCCTACTAGTGACGTGATCTCACAAGAACTTCGAATACACTCCTGTTTCTATAATTCGTCACATTATTTTTTGCCAGCTCAGTGATGACACTAATAAGTGACTAGATGAGGATAAAGTTATCAAAAAGTGGTGCTCAAACTTCATGTATACATTTGTGCTCTGCCAAACTTGTTATCCGAAGAACGTACCATACACTAAATATCAAAATCAGACAGAAAACAAAACGCACCTACTCACATCAATCTCTATAACATTTGAAAAATGAAGTTACATATGACTGCATATACCAGTCAATCTATACAAGTAAGGGACAAAGAGTAAAATCTAATATACCTCCAACAAACAACCAAATCAAATAATCCCATTAACCGAGACAACAGATGGTCAGCGACGTTTACACATAAATACACCACTAAAACAGATCACAAGATTGATTTCTATGCACACTACAATTTTATTTTCAAGTGGACTTGGTGACATCCACTGAAGTATGTTGAAGCTGTAGACATCAGGAAGATTTAACCACCAACTCACATTCAAATTCAATTCCTATCTGGATTATACCTGTCTTTGTAATGATAAGTTTGATGATTATGTTGTCGTTCTCTTCTCATCCAAACCACCAAGTCAGATCAGTATAACATGGATTACGGTTTTCCAAACACATTCAGCCCTTTGCTACAATTCACATGCATATACACGTGACATGTATGTGTGTGTGTGTGTGCGTAAGTAGATTGTTCACAACTTGTTGCACGAACACATCGCCCAGACACTTCACATGGATAAACTACATCTCATTACTTTATAGGAATTTATGAAGGCGAATGATTATTTCAAACGTCGACTGCATGAGGAGTTTCCTGTGGATATGCAACCTGAAACATGCTAGGAAACGCTTCTGTCTCTATTTAACTCAACCGTAAATTGTTGAAGTTGCAGTTGAATTGAATCGACACGATGGAAGCACTTCGTAGTTGCTTTATGGTTCACATCCAGACAACACTTGCTAATCATATCCATATTATAATGCGATTTGAGAGATTATGCTATCAACCATCTGAATTCACCTGAACACGAATGAAGGTTAGTGATATGATTATTACAATCTGGATTTGTGTCGATACTGCAGATCAATCCATCCTTAAGATCATCATGTCGACAATCGATAGTTTTATTGCAAGAACGTTTTGCAGTTACACCACTCAACTACATGATAGTCTCCTCACTGTGACGTCAGGCTTCTACAGACTGCATATCTACTCAAATATTCATCGTCTATTTTTACAACAACTCTTCCTTTGCAATCACGTGACACTGTTTATTGTTGGGTAGTGTGGGAAATGTTGAGTTACTTGACTTCAAAATATTGATTTCATGACATGTCTACATCCTCCCAACTGCAATTCCCCACAGAAACGATTACACTCAAGTTTCTTACTGTATAGTATAGTCAAGAAAACGTGCTTTGCATACAAACACATACACACATCAGTGTAGTTAACATGTAACATGCGGACATAGTACAGCTGTCTGTTACATCACTTTACTTTGTCTACAGATTGCAAGAACTCGATCAACTCAGAGTACTAGAGAATACACAACTGACTCGGTTAGTCATAGTTCATCAATTTGTTTACCCAATACAGTCGTGCAACGAGGCATGAATCAGTCGCTGGTCAGTTCAGTGAATACAGGTCTGAGTGAAACAGGTTGTTACATCACTTTCCTCATCACTGTAGATTCTTCTTGTTAATTAGTGCTG